TGGCTGGGGAATTCTGGGAGTTGAAGTCTGCACATCTCGAAGTGGCCTAGCTTGAGAAACACTGCTTTAGTGCAGTGGGCGAACTCTTCCATTGAGAAAGAAAGCATGGAAACGGGGGTCCTGCTAGACCCATCTTCCCCAACATGTAGAGCTCCCAAATCAGGGCTGTAATAGCCCAAAAGACCTCTAGCTGGCAGCAAAGGAATCAGAAGGCGCCAACTTGAGGTTGGCACAAGACAGAAGCCGCTCCCAACCCTTAATTTATGAGATTCCTTGTCTTGCCTTTCCCCCCAAGAGCACAGAGCCAGGAAAAAGGTGGTCTTTGTTTAGCGACCCCAATCGGGACCAGCAACCTGGTTGTTAAGTGAAGCAGTCGCTAAGAGAAACTGCGACTGTGCTTACAATCTTCCTTCAGCTTTCCTTGGCTTTACAGACCTGCGGCGGTTGTATATGCGAGGACTGGTTGCAAAATTAGCTTTTCATCGCTGTGGTAATTGCAAAAAATTGCTAAGCAAGGCGGTTGCTAAACGAGGACTAGCTGTATAGGGTTCTCCTCACATCTGTGAATCGTCTTCGCCACAGAAAAATCTGGTGGATCCCCTGAGGTCATCTGCTATGGGGAGATGAATCTTGATGTTCCTTATCCTGCTTTTCCCACTATGCCAGCCTGCCTCTCCGTGGGGGTAAAATAGTTGAAACCCCCCTGGTTATCTGGGGAATTGTGGGAGTTCACAATCATCTAGTCCAGTGTTTCTCAACCTTGGCTACTTCAAGGTGGGTGGACTTCAACTCCCAGAATTCTCCAGCCAGCATAGCATAGCTGGCCGGGGAATTCTGGGAGTTGAATTCCACCCACCTTGAAGTTGCCAAGGTTGAGAAACACTGCTTTAAGAAATAGTCTGTCTTATGTTCCAGGCGTGATGAATATTCGGCACAAGGGTCTCGAACACCATGGAGCAGGGCTAGCCCAATGAGAGGGTTGTGCCAGTCTGTACTGGGGCATGGCGGAGCAAGGGTGCATCAGCCAGTGCATTTTGGCACTGATGAAAAACGTGCCTGGCGGGAGAGGCACGGAGGCCTCAGCTGCTCTGAGCTCGCCATTTTGTGCTGGTAAAAAATTAATGGGCTGGTGGACTCTTCCCGAAGGCTCTCCAGGAAGAGTTTTAGCAACGGGGCAACAGAGCTGCTGCGTTTGCACGGCACACCGAACCATCAGTGAACCCACCCCACTTTCGTCTTGCCCGTGGCACAAATGCAGCTCGTGTGATTAGTTTGTGCCGCTGAGCAGATCCCCAAAACAGAGATAACTGGGCAAACGCAGGTCCGGTTCACAATGCAGCCTCTGTGCATTTGTTTTCAGAGCTGTGGCTTGCTGCAACGAAAGAGGCACCGGTTGCCGGAGATCGGAGGTTTGATCCTGGGTACTTTTTGATAAGGCTGGAAGGGGTCCTCTTTAAAAAGAGGTCTGGCGCCTTTGGAGGTGCTCGACTGTGACCCCCCTTCTTTTCAGAGGGCACGTGGCTGGGAGTTATCATAGCTGGACAGTTCTGAAGGACGAGCTGCTGCGGGCAGGACTCGGTTAATAAATGAAGATTTTTGTTCTGGCCAAGTCCCGCAAAGAAAAGAATAACCAGGTGATGGTTTAAAAGCTCCAGACCAGCAGAGACTGGTCCCTGCGTGCAAACAGAGGTGGGAGATGGAATTGCTGCAGAAGCCGACAAGTTGCGCCTTCTTGCGACACACGGCCTTCTGCCTGGGGCTGGATTTCGTGCGGCATTCCCCAGACTGGTATCGCCAATTCCCCTTTGACTCTTTAAAAGGTGTCCCTGTGGTGTGTTTTTAAATAAGGCACCGGGCAAACATTCAGTGAGGTAAGCTACAGGTAGAGTTTAATTAAATGCTGTTTGACTTCTTCTTAAGACCCCAAGCTGAAGGAGAGGCGCGCAAGAGATCATCTGAACAGCTTTCAGTTCGTGGGTGAGGGTTTTCTGTTTAAAACTCTGCAAAGAATGGGGGGGGGGGGGTGGAAGAGCCTTGGCGGGGGGGGGGGGGGCAAATAAAACATGGGAAGGCA